GGATTGTAAAAGTTATTAGTCATACTGTTTGGCACCTCCAGGTACGCTAGAGGTGTGATGTTAGCCTTATTAAGGTAGATAATGATTTATGTGTCACGAAGATACTCTGTACACAATTGTATATAAGCAGGAGATTTTATCTCCGAAGACAGAGTAGCCATAGATAATCTAGTCCTTGGTAGAAGACGTAATTATTGTAATAAAGTGATTTTCCTTCAAGTTGTGGAAGTCGTTGCGTTTCGATAGACACATTATTACATTTGGCGCTGCGAGTAGGGTAATTACGAAAGAAGCTATGGCATCTGCAAGTACAGGCGAAGAATGTTTTAAGATCTCCCAGATGAAGCTGGAAGAATTGAAAGAAGAAGCTGACAAGCTGAAAATTGACATCTCAGGCCTGAAAAAGAAGGAAGAAATTAGCATTAAGCTTATGAACGAGATCCTCCAGGGAAAATCAGAAGCTCAGCCAAAAGATTTATCCTTATCTCAAGCTGTGGAAATGCTGACACAAGTATTAGGCCGAGTGGTTAGGCCGCAAGAACCAAGGACAAAGAATTTAGGATTAAAGAAAATGAAGGACTCTGATGAGCTGGAAGCATTCTTAAAAGTATTTGAAGTGCAAGCGCGAGCTGCAGAATTACCTGAAGAACATTGGGGAATCTCGCTGGGAGGATACTTGTCAGGAAAGGCCTTGTCAGAATACGCGAAATTAGAGGTACAATTGTATAGGTGCTAGATCGTAGAGTGAGATTAAATATGTGAGGATTTGTATCAGTAATTGCAATACGGATTGTAAAAGTTATTAGTCATACTGTTTGGCACCTCCAGGTACGCTAGAGGTGTGATGTTAGCCTTATTAAGGTAGATAATGATTTATGTGTCACGAAGATACTCTGTACACAATTGTATATAAGCAGGAGATTTTATCTCCGAAGACAGAGTAGCCATAGATAATCTAGTCCTTGGTAGAAGACGTAATTATTGTAATAAAGTGATTTTCCTTCAAGTTGTGGAAGTCGTTGCGTTTCGATAGACACATTATTACACCGTTATACGGCAATAACGAAAGACAGTCCCATTTTGATTGATTGCAAAATTTATTAAAGGCACTATTACTTTTTCATAAATGATTCTAAAAAGTATAGCTAAAAAATTGATACTGTTGCATGTTTTTTTGAAAGACAATCCGTCATATTTGGTATCGTTAATTTTGCACAGCCTATGCTATCGAGAATTGCTTTTCTTCCTCTTTTAAAATCCAAAGGCGATTTCTTTTGTTATTTAGAAATAGGTTATGGTATTGTATCATTGCCTCATTTAATTTTATTTCAATAGAGTTTCTTACGATATGCTATGATAAATTTATTTAGAGCAATT